AAGAAAGAAAGAAAGAAAGAAAGAAAGAAAGAAATGGTTCTCATCATGACATCCCTATTTTTGTTAATGACACTCAAAATTTTTCATTTACCAAGAACTTGGAGTCACAATGAACAAGATTCAAATCCTGCCTCTGAGAATTACTAGCTGTATGACTCCAAGCAAGTCCTTTAACCTCTCAGTCCCAAATTTTCTCATTTATAAAACAGGAACAATAATAGCACCCATGCACTGAGTTGTTGTATGGATCAAATGAGATCATGTTTATCAAGTTTTTGCAAAAAGTTAAAATGTTATATGACTATCTGTTATTTGGCCCCTATGAGACTCAATTTGCCCATTTATGAAGTGGACATAGTATGTACAGAGATGTTGTGAAGATCAGACAAGATAATGTCTATAAAGCCCTTTGCAAATCTTAAAGCATAATACAAACCATAAAGTTATTTAAGTTATTTTAGCAAACTGGAGGGGTAGGGATGAAAAAAGATTTGGGAACTGGCAGAGAATTCAGTGCCTCTAACTTTATAATTACAACTGATGTTTATATGGTACTATAAGGTTCACAAAGTGTTTTGAATGATAATAATAACAATAACTGGTATTTAAATAGTGCTTTAAGGTTTGCCAAGAACTTTACCAATACTAATTGATTTGATCCTCACAGCAATTACATGAAGTAAATGTTAAACAATTTGTCTGTTTGCTTCTAGGTGTTACTCAGCACTACTAGAGGTTCGTGGGTGATAAATCGGGTTTTTGACCATGGGTATCCTTGGGACATGGTGTTCACTTCTCGATTTAGAAGTGCATTAAGAAATTCCCTCCCAACTTCAGTGGTAAACTGGTTAATTGGCAAAAAGGCAAATAGCTGGTTCGATCATGCAAACTACGGTTTGGTTCCAGAAAACAGGTAATTTCTTGGCTTCTGTTTTGTGCTCTCAGAAAGGAGGGACCCACAGATTCCTCAGTAACTTTTGTGAAGTTGGACAGTTGCTGCTGCTACAAGATATGTGTTTATTTTGTTGAAACATTTGGAAAGAAAGAGTATAGAATCATATCCAAGATTCATTTTGAACAAGGGATATATTTGTGGGCTTTTGTTCCATTGGTAAAGAGAAATTGCATCTTACAGTATCCATTTGCAATCTCTTTAATGACTGCAAGATAGACTTTCAACAAGACAATCTCAATTCAGTTCAGCAAACATATAATAAGGACTTAATGTGTAAAAGGTACTATAGAAAGAAAAATAACTGTGACATTAACCTCTCAAGAGGCTTAGTCTTACAGAGGGCATGTACACAATTAGATATGAGGACTAGAATAAGATAAATAGATAGGAGAGGCTAAGCAAAATTCCATGAGTAATTCAAGGAGAGAAAACTTTCATCTACTAGGGCTCATCTGCTGGGGCGGTA